AAATAGGGCAACAGAAAACTCTCTAATGACAATTAGAAAGGTGGACAAAATATACAAAACATCTACTCAAAGATAAGAGAGAGGTGATAAGGTAGTAAATAGCAGGTCAATATCCAAGAGGAAAGAGAACATCAGAGAGTGAGCCCAGCATTTTAGGACTGCTTTACCCCAAGGGCTATTTGCTGATTCCAGAACAGATGGCTGAGAGCCTGAGAAGTACTTTGAACAGCCTATCATGACCACAGAGACAAAAGCTGGAATCCAGGGCCCTCCAAGGATGAGAGTTCTGGCAAATGTCTCTTGTACTCGTCAGAGTTCTCCAGAGAAATGGAACCAATAGGAGAGAGAGAGAGAGACAGATAGACAGACACGCAGATAGAGATATACAGGTAGGCAGATAGATATAAAGAGACTTTATTATAAAGAATTGGCTCACATGATTATGGAGGCTAGTGAGAAAAACTCTGCAGAGCTGACGTCCCAGTTTGACTCTGGAGGCCAGAAGCTGCTGTGGAACCAGAAAGAGCCAATGTTCCAGTTCAAAGGCTGTCAGGCAGATAGAATTCTCTCTTACTTGGGGGAGGTCAGCCTTTTGTTCTATTCAAGTCTTCAACTGACTGGATAAGGCCCACCAAAATTACGGAGGGCAATCTGTTTTATTCATTCTACTGATTTACATGTCAATCTCCATAGCAAAATGTATTTACTATAGAGTTAAAATGCATGACAAGAACAGAATATAACTGTGAAGAAGGCTAATAATGGAGTTAAGCTTTTCTAAGACCTTTGCACTATCCAGGAAGAGAAAGTACTAATCAGTGGTGTGCTGGTAAATGTTTAACAACCAACTCTCCACAGGACAAAAGCCCTGATCTGCATCCTTTGCTACTTTCTATGCTGGCTGATCTCAAGCTACCAACAAGAGGTTACTGAACACGGAGTTGGGAAGAGATGGGCACAACTGGCTCTCCTGAGCCGGTGTGAGCCAGCTCCAGCACACCTCTGAATCAGTCCTTGAAAATGGAATAATAAAAAATAATCAACGCAAAAAAAGGCAGGAAAGAAGAGAAAAAGAAACAGAATAGCCAGGAGAAAAATCAAGCATATAAAAAGATGGTAGAGTTAAACTCAAATATATCATTAATTACTTAAAACGTAAGTGGACTGGATATTTCAGTCAAGAGATAAATACGCTATAAAAATAAAATGCAGCTATATGTTAAGGGCAACACATCTAAAAACATAAGGTAACAGAAAAGCTGAAAGCAAAAAGAGAGAAAAAGATACGCTACGCAAACACTAATGAAAAGAAGGCTAGTATAGATACATTAATATCAGAGACGTACATGTTAAGACAAAAAGCACTGTTAGAAAGGAACAATTCATAATGAAAAAACATTCATCAGAAGATGAATTTTATAACACAGAGACACCTATGATATAGCCTCAAAGTACAGTTTTAAAAATGACAGAATTAGGGGCCGGCCCGGTGGTGCAGCAGTTAAGTTCACACGTTCTACTTCGGCAACCTGGGGTTCGCTGGTTTGGATCCCGCGTGCAGACACGGCACCGCTTGGCAAGCCATGCTGTGGTAGGCATCCCACATATAAAGTAGAGGAAGATGGACACAGATGTTAGCTCAGAGCCAGTCTTCCTCAGCAAAAAAAAAAAAAAAAAAAAAAAAAGGAGGATTGGCAGATGTTAGCTCAGGGCTAATCTTCCTCAAAAAAAAAAAAAAGAAGAAAAGAAAAAAATGACAGAATTAAGGGCTGGCCCCGTGGCCAAGCAAAGCTCGTGAGTTCCACTTTGGCGGCCCAGGGTTTTGCTGGTTTGGATCCTGGGCACGGACCTAGCCCCACTCATCAGGCCATGCTGAGGTGGCGTCCCATATAGCACCGCTAGAAGGATCTACAACTAGAATCGACAACTATGTACTGGGGGGCTTTGGAGAGAAGAAGAAGAAAAAAAAAGATTGGCAACAGTTGTTAGCTCAGGGGCCAATCTTTGGGAAAAAAAAAAGACAGAATTAGAGAGGAAACAGATAAATCCAGAATCATTTGGGAGACATTAACACACCTTTCTTAGTAACTGAAAGAATAAGAAGCAAAAACAAACGAGTAATGAAGCTGGAAATTATGCAATTGAGGTAGAAATCACTAACAAAAATATAACTTAAAACTCCCATGTTTAGAAACTAAGAAATGCCAAATCTATACAAAATCTTCCAGAAAACTGAAGAGAAAGAAATAATTCTGAACCCATTTTATGAGGCCAGAATTCCTGAGACCAAAACTAGAAATTACAAGAAAAGCAAACTACAAAACAACATCCTTCATAAGCAAAGATTTTAAATTAAATTTTAAATTGTTAAATTCTTAAGAAAATTTTAGCAACTGAATACAATAACGTATAAAAAGAATAATATATCAAGACGAAGTAGGACTTCTCCCAGCAACGCAAGTTTAGGTTAAGGGCAACACATCAAAAACATAAGGTCTAAAATCAATGAAAAACTATAAAACTTCTAGAAAAAACGAGGAGAAAATCAATATAACCTAGGATTAGGCAAAGATTTCTTAGCCATGACATCTGATAAACAGACTTCCTCAAAATTAAAAACTTCCGCTCTTTGAAAGACATCAAGAGAATGAATGAAGAGAAGCCACAGACTGGGGAAAAACAACTGGGAAATAGTAAATTATGACAATCAACTTGGTACAATATGTTTGAATAATAATTGCCACAATTTATTGAGTGCTTTTAATGTGTCAAGAACTGTCAAGCACTTTATGTACATTGTCTATTTTAATCCTTAGAACAACCCTAAGAGGTGGGAACCATTACCCTCATTTGACAATGAACTTAGAGTGGCTGGCCCGGTGGCACAGCGGTTAAGTTCGCACCTTCCGCTTTGGCAGCCCGCGGTTCACCAGTTCGGATCCCAGGTGCAGACATGGCACCGATTGGCAAGCCATGTTGTGGTAGGCATCCCACATATAAAGTAGAGGAAGATGGGCACCTATGTGAGCTCCGAGCCAGTCTTCCTCAGCAAAAAAGAGGAGGATTGGCGGCAAACGTTAGCTCAGGGCTAATCTTCCTCAAAGCAAAACAAATAGACCATAAACTTAGAGAAGTTGATTGACTTGCCCAAAGTCATAATAGCTGGTAAGCTGCAGAGTCAGTTCTATTTATTTCCAAAGTCAATGAACTCTCTTAAGCACTCCATCATACTACCTTTTTATTAAAATAATCTAAGATTGCATAACAACACGGAAAAAGTGTTAGAAACAAAATGCGTATGAAGTGGCGCTGCCTCCAGCAGATTTACAGACCAATGGCCTGCAGATTTATCAAATCAGAAAAACAATACTTGGTATTCATAAGTACGCTTATGTGCTTGCCTTGTAAGGATGGTATTTGTGACAGCATGCTATTTATATACCATCTGGACTACTTTATGCCCTTAGACACCCTATAAACTGGTCCCATCCCTGCGCTGTGGAAATGAACCGGGTGAGCAGCCTACAGTGGAAAAATCCACTTGCATTTTTCAATCCCTCTGCACTGAATTGTAGAAGATCCTTTCTACAGGAAACTTTCCCTCCTTGGCACGATACCCAGCAAATATGACAATATCTAAAGCCTAAGGATTAACACAGAGTATGCATTTATGTTTTTACCCTTTTGCTTATGCATAGTTTTTACAGGCACTGATTCAATAATATTTCCAACAGTCTCTGTGGTGAGTAGGTGGCAGGCACTGACCCACGTAAGACAGAAATGGAAGCAGATTGGCATTCAGTGTTCACTGTGGTTCAGCTGGTGGCACAAGTAAGAACCAATCTTCTTACTCTCCAAACCCACATTCCAGATACTAAACCAAAGCTCTCTTGAGCAGAAGGAAATCCTTAGGGCTTTGCAAACACATAATCTTTTGGATCTATAATTGGTGATAGTCCTGATGTGTCTATACAAGCCCCTCCCCCCCCATTCCCAACTGGTGGTAATCTCTGTGTTCTTTGAAATCCTAGACTGTTTATTTCATTCATTCATAGTTTCATTCAACAAACACTAACCAGGACCTTGCAGGTTCGAGGCACTGTGCATTTCCTTCTATTTAAAACTATCTGTGAACTGATCTTAACCCATTTTAAGTTCCTTGAGGACAGAGAGATATTAATCAACTCTTGAGCACGTTGCAGGAAATGCTTAACACAAGACTTGGCACTTGGTGTGTACTCAGTAAACATTTAATCGCATGAAGCTTGACCAAATTCCAATTCAATCCTATTCCAGTTCCAATTTAGTCAACAAAGCAGACAAAACCATCACGTGGCAGTGTCCAACTCCTCACTTCTTCCCATTTCCCATTTCTCAGTACCACCTTCCTTGAAACTAATTTTTTAACAGGGAGAGTCCTCATTTTGGATATTAAATCAGTGTCATTACACAAGTCTAAAAACTAAAAATAACTCACCCTCCTTAGAACCCAACGGCTCTTATACCCAGGCATGATGGGATAATGCGAAATGCTCTGGACTAGGCATCAGGACAGTGACTCTGGACTGCCGCTGACCTGTGTCAAAACTTTCATGAAATCTCAGAATCCTCTGGTCCTGTTTCCCCAGTTATAGAATAAGATGGTTTCCACCCAAAGAGCCCCTTCAGCAGTAAAATTCTACCATCTGGGATGACTCATAAAGTATGAAATGAAATGCATCAAATGATAAGCCTTGCTTAGGCTAAAATGCAAAACACGAACTCAAAAGATAGAACCAGAGATTAATATTAAAGGGCTTATTGATACTCTTCTGGGGCTAAGTTATTTCTCCCCTTGTCATCTATCATAAAACATCCGGTATTATTCATTTGTATGTGTTATTCTCATCTACCCAGATTACAAACTCCTTCGAAGAAGGAACTGCACTGTCCTTTGTAAAGAGGTGGAATCTAAATAAAACACTGTTGGCATGTAGACTCTGGGTACCAACTCCACATACTTCCGGGTTGGCTCATGTAACTTGCAGACACACGAGGAATCCTTGCTTCCATGCGGTGCTGTCCTTCCTTTTCCAAGACTTTGTCTCCGGGAGGAGGCAGTTAATCTACAATGATCTTTCCGCCGTCTCAATCTCTCCTCTATCTCCCTGGGACCCAAGACTTAGTAGCCACGGGACACAGTGACACCAATTACTTCCCGGGCACGCGTGCTCCACGAACAGCTGGATGAACTAGCCCCAGAGAACACAGTGTGGCTCGGTGACATCGGGAATTTGACGGGTTCACTAAGCATTGGGGTCAAACTTGCAAAGCACCCCAGGGAACCACACAGTTCCATCCGCAGTGGCCGCAAGGGCAGGGGTGCTGCTCCAGAATTCCTACAGGTTCAAGGGCGGCGGGTGTGGCCGGAAGTGGGGTTCAGAGCATCTCTAGAAGCCACATGGGCACAGCAAGCTCTGTCTGCACGTGTTTGGGGGGAGTTGCTAGATTCCCCCAATTTCTCTGTCCTGTGGCGCCATCTTGGGAGCAGGGTACAAGTGATCTGACCGAGGAAAGGTCGAGAAGGTTCCTCGGAGAGGGCTTTCCACAGAGGGGGACTGCCTCTGACGGGGGCACTCTGCGGGGAGAAGCACGCAGTCGTTCGTCGGCTCCATGTGGCTCGAAAGGCCCCAATTCTCAGTCATTCATTTCCTGACAACAGCACTCGTGAAAGCGCCAAGGCTCCACACTTCCGGCCGCGAGTCTGAGGAGCTCTTTCGAGGAACGGAGTAAGACGTCCACGCCCTCTCGTCACCATTCTCCAGCCGTTGTGTGACGCCGCTTCAGGCACTCCACGACCCGACCCTCCCCACGCCAGCCCCCGCCCGGGACCCGGGCCGCGCGCCCGAGCTGTGCGCGTGCGCAGACCGCCCGCGCGGCCACGCTGCGCAGGCGCCCTGGCCATTTCCGGGATCTGTCAGCCGCTCCCTCTGGGCCTCGGTCCTCCGCCCGCGCCCGCCGGAGCCTGTTCGCGTCGACTGACCAGAGTCCGCGAATTCTCCGCTCCGAGCCCGTCCGGACTGCCCCGACCCCAGGTAAGGGGCAGCTGGGGCGAGCTTCTGGCTCTGTCGGCGTCTGCGGCCCCGGACTGGCCCCCGCGGGGGCGGGGAGGCGGGGGCGTAGGCCGCGGGGCTCGAGGCCGAGGGGCGGGCCGGGTCTCCCTGCCCGGCCTCCTGAGGGGGCGGGGATGCCTGTTCTCCGTGGGGCCCGCCGAACCCCTGGGATCCCCTTGAGAGATCGCATCTCCCAAGATCTGCGAGCTCCAAGCCTCCTTCACTGCCAGAACTAACGAATCCTCCTGCGCTTCCATTGCCCTGTTTGCACCTCTTGTGGGCGTTCATCACAATTTGTGGAATTGTGGTGAATGGGAGCCCCTCCCCCGATCGAGCGTCACGAGGGCCCGTTCATTTCTCTCTTTAGCATCTAGAATAGGTCCCTGCACGCAGTCGTCGCGCGTGGGATGTCTAGGGCAGCCCTCAAGCCTTCAGCTGCTGGGGGACCCTCCCGAACTCGAGAAAAACCCTTCCCGGAGTTCTTTAAGATTCCCCCGCTCCGAGGCCTCCTTCCCTTGAGCTAGAATGGCACATCCTCGCTCCTCCTCGCTCCTTGTCTGTATGGAACCTCTTAGATGGCACTTGCGCGTTCCCACCCTCCCGTGGGACTGCCCCACTACAGTCCCGGCACCGCCACTCGGTTGGGGGACCCTGGGAAGATTGCTTTTCCGAGTCCCTGCTTCCTCATCTAAAGAAAGAAGATTTTTAGGGCTTTTCTGAGGATCAAGTGAGTTTGTTTGCATAAATTGCTTAGAAGAGTTCCTGGCCCGGAGAAGGTGCTCAATCAGTGTTAGCTATTATTACTGCTTCTGAGCATCCTACATCTATTCTCTCTTCCCTTCCTCTCCTACACCCCTTCCCCCAGACTTCGAGGACCAGAAAAGTGTCAGATTTATTTGAGTTTCTGGCTCCCACCCGGTACTTACTGTACACTGCTTAGATCTTTGATTATAAAGCCATCTGTTCTCATACTGCAGTTTTGGAACCTGAAGGAAAGGCTAACCTACTTTTTTCTACCTCGACTCGTTGCCTAAATGACCTGAATTATCCTACTTCTGACCTCATTTGTCAGTTTTATCTGCCCTTTTGTTTTGACCTAGGCCCTGGGTTCTTCGAGTATCTTAAAAAAAAGAAAAGAAAAACAAAGGACAATCCAACAGTCAGGAAGGTGTTTTTGCCCTGTGGCTGCTTCCTACCAAGGTGACTCTGTTGACATCACCATTAAAGGAAGGGATCATCTTGGAAAATGAAAACTCCTGCTTGGAGGGAGAGTGGCAGGATTTTGATCTAGTTAGCTAATCCTAGGCTGAGACAAATTCTGCATAAAGAAGTTTAAGATGGTCTGCTGGTGAGGCTGGCGCCTGGAGTTGGAATCTGTCTCTGGACGTGGTGGAGGGTGTGGTGACCTTGTTGGAGCACCTGGTACTGGTTGTGTAATGAGAGCAATTAGAAACTGGGTGAATCACAGTCTTGAAAACCGACCCTGAGCAGGGAACTGGAATTCCCACTGTACAAATACCTGCCAGCACCAGGGCCAAGAATTTAAAGCATATGTAGATGTTTCCATGTTCGGAGGATACCAACTGGTGTGTGCTTCTGGGGATAGTTCAGAAGCCTTGGGTCAAAGGAAGAAAGAGCACTAACTTACAGAGCATCTGTTTGGGGCTAGGCTTTGTGCTACATGCTTTCACTGTTATCTCATTTAATCCTCCCGCCAACAGCCTCGGGATGTCAGTGGTAGGTCCGTTTTACAGATGAAAAAATGAGATTTAGAGAGATTGAGTGACCTGCCGAGAGTCTCATAGGTAGTATGTGTCCAAGTCAGGTTTCATACCCAGGTCCCCCTGGCTTCAGAGCCCACAGCTCGCCAAACATCAGAATGACTGTACTCAAAGTGACAGGTAAAGAAAGGAGTTGGGGGCGGGCGTCTTCCTGGGATCATACTGTGCTATAAATCGTTCTCTCTGTCAGTGCTGGACAATAAAAGTTCATCAATAGAAGCTTGTTAAATTTAACGTCACCACCTTTTTGTCTGTCTGTTTTTGTCTTCTCTACCCCTCATTAAGACAGAGGTTTTCAGATTTCACTTAAATATTAGTCACAGCTTAGAACTTATAATTATCACCCTCCATGACAGAAGACATCTTTTCTTGGTGCAGGATTTAAGCTGCTATTATACTTCTGCTTTCACTGAGTTTGATGAATACATGCTGTGTTTACTGGGTGCCTTATAAATTTGACGAACCTGAGTGTTGTTTTGGCCCACAGACTCAAAATAGCCACATGATTATAGAACAAGTATAGGTCTGAGTCTTTGTCCAAATATGGAACTTGAATGACATAACGAAATTAGAAAGGCAATTTTAGAAGTAATTATGCCGTTGTGTAAATATTTACCTCTTTTGAAGGCTTTGCTGCATTGCTTATAAAACTGAGCTGAAAATGCGAAAGCCTTTGTCCGCAGCTCATGAAATGTGTGCTTTGATGGCATGTAGATATTCACATTACATTATTAATTTGCAGGCCAATTTTGTTTCACTTTGCAAAGGAGCCTATAAAATGTGTCTTTCGAACTAAATTGTTTTTAATTAAGGAGATATCTGTGACACATGTTATATTGAGTAACTATGAGTAAAACCTGTTGTAGGAGGTAAGCATCTGAAATCAGAGATAAAGAGGATTATGCAGTGAGCATCTGGAAGTTCCTTTTTTTTCTGAGGAATATTAGCCCTAAGCTAACATCTGCTGCCAGTCCTCCTCTTTTTACTGAGGAAGACTGGCCCTGAGATAACATCTGTGCCCATCTTCCTCTACTTTATATGTGGGACACCTGCCACAGCATGGCTTGACAGGCGGTGCATAGATGCACATCCGGGATCCGAACCAGGGAACCCCGGGCCACTGAAGCAGAACGTGTGAACTTAACTGCTGGGCCACCAGGCCGGCCCCCTGGAAGTTTATTTTTTAAAAAACAAATTAAGCAGTCTCATTTAAATTCCTGTAAAACATTTTTTAAATTTCCAATTAGAGGTCTTTATTTTTGAGTTGCAATTTGCGTTCTGGAACATGTAAAAGTAAAAAATTAATGACGTAAGTATCTTCACTCTTAGAATAGAATGTGAAACACTGACATTTCTCTGCTAGTTGCAGATATCAGATGTTTTATTTAAGGGTGCACTTATCTCTTTTGACCTTTGGGTTCCTTTACAACAATTAGCAGAGACGTTTCTTTTGCTTTCCGTTGAGATTGATTTCTGCTTTGTCTGCTGAACTGGTTCACAACTTTCTGGTGGCCCTTCCATTCGTTTCCTGCTTGCATCAGGATTCCTGTCTCACGTTTCAGTCTCCACCCTAGGTTAATGTGACTTGTACTTAAGTGTATTGAAATTTCAGAGTGTTGGTAGAGCCCCTCTTAGAAATGGTAAAAGGGGGGGCGGAGGAGCAGGGGAGGCTGGCTGCTTTTTTGAAAAAATGTCTCCTATTTCAGGTAGTGATTGCTTCTTCAATGGATCTAGGTTTGGCTGAGATAGAGAATTTTATATGATTTTTAATTTAATGATGTTTCACAGATTCCTGCTTTTCATTTAGTTACGATACAAAGTTTAAAGAGTGATACAACAAACATCTGCATATTCTGCCTAGATGCACCAGTTGTTAACATTTTGCCACGTTTACTATCTGCTTGTTCCAAAAGATTGAAAATAAGTTACAGAAGACATGATGACACTTCACCCCTAAACACTTCATCATATTTATGTCCTAAGTGCTAGGACATTCTCCTACCTAACAGCAAACAACTGCCATAGTTAAGAAATTGAAAATAATTCCTTACTGTCATGTAGTAGGTAGTCCAAATTTAACTTTTACCTATTGTACACAGTACATCTTTTATGGCTATTTTAAAAATGTCGATTCCAATCAAGCTTCATTGATCAGATTTGGTTTTCATAGCTCTTTCGATCTAGAACAGTCCCCCCAGCTCCATTTGCCTTTTTTGAATAGTCTAGGCCAATTGTTGTATAGAATGGGACACATTCTGGTTTTAACTAGTTTATTTCCCCTTGTGTTATTTAACTAATTCCACCCTTTATTTCCTGTAAACTGGAAATTAGGTCTGGATGTTGATTAGATTTAGAGTAAATACGTTTGGCATAAATACTTCGTAGGTAGCTTGGCCATCTTACCAGGTTTCTCCCGGGTAGTCTTATGACCTATTGTCACAGCGTGATTATTAATAGCGCCCCTTTTTGTTCTCTTAAAAGTGTTCTGGTCTGGAGGATTAATCATGTGCTCACTATTTATAAGTGATCACGTGCACTTCGTGTTGCTTCCCCTCAGAGGCCCATCAGATTAGATTGTTCCACTATTTATAATACTGAGTTCGATCACTTGGTTGAGGTGGAGACGTAGTTTTTTATTGGAAAGGCACGTTTTTCCCATTGTAATTAGTACGTAATCTGTGGGATGATAATTTGAGGCTGTGTGAATATCCTCTACCCCAACAATCTTTAACCCATCGTTTTAGTGTCCCTTGATGAGCCTTGACAGAATAAATTATACCTTGGTGGTTACAATGATAGTTGTATTTAAATGATTAAGTTTTTAACATTGAAATTGATTCTTTTTTAATGGGACAATAATGTTTTTGTTTATCCCCAAACATTTCAGGATTCCTCAGACAACTTAAATAGTGGTTGCTTGCCATTTTAAATGCTTTTTTCTGTTGCTCCTTGCAGCTTT